AAGGATGATTCCAATCCAGGCAATGACCTCAAACATGTAATTCGGGCACGTAACTAGCTTGAAGCCTAATCCGTTGGGGATCTTGCGAGCCGTCTCACCGGGCTTCCTCAGCGAAGAGAGATACGAGTGGACGTTCGCATTGGCGATCTCGCCGAAGAAAAACAGCGCCATACCCACAGTGAACAACGGTAGAGCGCGCAGGTTGGTGCGCGCATCAGGGACGCTGGCGGCGGGTGCCCAGGGGGAGTAAATCTCGAGCGCACCCAGGAAACCAGCGAAGACCCAGTAGAAGAAGGAGTTCCGAATGATAAAAGGCGCAGGCATGGTGTTGGCGGAGAACTTGTGGACGTAGAGGACCTCGAGCTCGCGCTTAATAAAGTGCGCCATGATCATGAAGAAGGTGACTTTTTGTGTGTAGCTCATGAGACCAGCGGCAGAGGCGGGCGTCGGCTCGGGCACGTAGGAGGAGACGTATGGGGATAGCGCAGGATAGATGTAGTTGCGCAGGGAGTAGAAGAGAGGGTGGAAGAGGAGAGGACCTAGGTACTCGACTTGGTAGACAAGTTGCCAGGAGATTTGCGGACCTGTTGGATGGGTGGTATTACAGGTTAGTCTTTTGCATCATTGATTGACATAAATGGGTAAGAAAGAGAAGGGAGAGTTTACCCAGATCCTTGACCATGATCTCGCCTGCCTTCATGGCAGGGGCTGAGTCTTTGACGAGGGCATTGCGGTCCTTAAGGGTCTTCTTAGAGACGGGGTCGAAAATGCCGATGCGATTGAAATCAGAGGTCTTAGTGGCGCTCGCAATGGCCTTCTTGGTGAACTCGACTGTTGCGTCGTCGGGAAGTTCAATGGTGGGCGGGAGGTTCTTGAGACCCTTGCGCGAGCGGGCCGTCACTTTGAGAGTGAAACCCATCTTTTCTCTCTGTTGGTCCTTCTTGGTGGTAATAGCCTTCGTTTCTTGAGGAGGAAGAGAAGAATCAGAGAGGAGTAGTATATGTCCAGAGTAAGCGGAAGGTGGCCGAGGCCTGTTAACTGGCGACTAGCAAGACCGAGGCTGTCAGATATAGATATAGGTTTGTTGGGGGGAATTGGTGTTGAGTCGTCTCCTTATCAGATTTTTAAATTGTGCTGGGAATTTTGGCATCTGCATGTGGATTCGACGTCATTATTGGCCTATTACTCCAATTGCTAGTCCTCACCCCACCATTATCTTCGATCCTAACTCTCTGAAATACTTAAACGCTATTCTCTGCTCTATTCTCTGCTCTATTCTCTGCTCTACGACATTCTGATTTGAGTGTTAAGAGTATCTCACATTTATATCTCACAATTGGGTCAAACGGATTTCAATACCTTTAGGGGAGCCGCTCGTAATTCAGCCATGGAAACCCATGTGAGCGAGTTTCTTCAGCAACTAGCAATCCCCAAGTTCTGGAGCTGAAGAATGATCTTCAGGGCAATTCTTTTTTGAGCCAATCACACAACTTGGACATTGAAATCACCTGTTGACAGCTTATTTTCGCTGTATCGACTTAAGTCACCCACAGCATTTATGTTGCAGTCTCTTAGAGGGAGACAGGCAACTATTCTTTTCTTTACTTCGGTTGTCCACAAACACTACCTAATACGAAGTTTCCACTGTAATTGAGTATACTGAAAATACTAACTTGTACACATATGAAGTAAGCATCTGACATCTCGAAAGTCAAAAAAGATCACAAGGACCCCTGGCGTAAATATAGCGTAACAGTAGGTAGATCCGCTGGGCCGGATCCTCCCTTGTATAAAGATTCACCCCACATGCTACCATGATCCCGACGCCTCCATCCATCCCACTTCCCAGCACAGCACATCCCGAGCTAACGACCGGAACGCGAACAGGCCAACAGCAACAACGTCGCCTCATGGCTTCGAGCCATTTTTGACAGTGTTCATTGCTCAATCCAACCATCATCTAAAAATCATGCCTCCGCCAAATACTCCCGAAGAAGGCCTGGTATCGGCCACCACAACCACGCTTGCCCTGCGACCCTGCACCCGAGGGGAGCCCTCGCCCTCCGTCGTCGACTTTCGAGCCCTCGAGTACGAAGGCGATGTCGACGAAAACCTCATATGTCCCATTTGTCGCCTGCCATTAATAGCCCCAATCATCACTCAATGTGACCATGTCTTCTGCCACAAATGCATCGTCCAGGCCCACAGCATAAACCCCGTTTGTCCCGTCGACCGACTTCCACTGAAGCTCATCAGTGAGACCTCGGGTGCGCCCAAGATTATCCACAACCAACTCGATAATTTACTTGTGCGATGTCCCAACACATCACGCGGCTGCGGTCTCGTTGTAGCGAGATCACTCGTCGAGAATCACGTCACGCGGTATTGCGAAAAGACTTTGGTGCCCTGCCCACACCCCTCGTGCGCCAAATTGGTGTCTCGCAAGGACTCTGGCAAGGGATGTCTGCACTACGAGGTCAAATGTGAATATTGTAGTCAGCTTTATGAGAAGGCCGACCTGGAAGAGCATCAAAATAACCAATGCGCAAACCGGAAGAAAGATTGTGAGCTCTGCGGAAAAGAGTACGTGCGGCTCAAGCAAGAAGAGCACATGAAAGACTGTCCCGAAGCAGATGCGCCCTGCAAGTTCTCAACGTTTGGCTGTACACTCTTGAAGAAGCGCAAGGACCTAGGAGAGCATGCATTGCTCTGCGATTACAGAGTTGTAGGCCCTGTTGGGGAGCAATTAGCTGAGCTCCGCGCCGAGCTTGCCACCCTCCGAGAGAAGGATCAACTGAAGGAGCGACGCATCAAGTTTCTCGAGAACAAGGGCTTCTCCGTACCCTCCACGAACACATCCGAAAGCATGACTGACATCAGTCTTCCTGGAAACAATGTTGCTCCTACAGACCCAGCCCCCTACGAATCAAGAGATCAGTACTTCCTCTCCTTATTCGAGACTCTGGAATCCAAAGTCGAGCGCTTTTCCTCAGCCATGAATGAGGTTGAGGGCCGGGTATCTGTCGTGTTATTCAACGAAACACTACCGATCAAAGATCAACTGGCCGAAATCCGCAGTACCATGGGCGTCCTTGGAATGCACGTCCGGTGGTTGATGAACTTTCGTCTACAGGAACGAGGAAGAGTATCTACCAACTCGCCGAATATGCCCAGTACCCTGGCAGGGAATCAAAACAATACCGACGGCTCCGGTCCGCCTCGACGGTTAAGTGATTATACAAGAGAACAACCCGCAAGGTTATGAGGCCCGATTGATGCATTATCAACGAACTCTAACACTTCAGAACGATTATCCGAGATACCTTTTGGCGCCTTACCGGAGTCGAGGGGCAATAAGTCTGGGATACTGGCATCATTGCAATTCCGGCAATCTATTCGGAACAACGCTTCTGAGTCAACCCATCAATGGTCTTCCAATGGTATCATACGTAAATTCTACACTAGTGTGGTGCTATGATGGAGACATCTATCGATGGCTTATTATATCACTCTTTTAAGGCCATGACCAGAACCTTAGTTCTTATAAAGGGCTGATAGTATACCCAACTCGAGCAGCTCAATTTGGGCGGCCCGTGCTCTCTTTTCGACCGCAACCTTGCCACCAGCTTTCGAAATGGCGAATGGCTCAGACAAGTGCAACGTCGGTCGGTCTGGATCAATTTTGCAGCAGTATGTACAGGAGAATTCGAGAAAAAGGATGCGAAGCAGGATATAGGGTTGACAAGACTTTGACAAGAGCACCTCGGGCGTTTCTGGACTTGGCATTGATCAGGACTGTTTTGCACCTCCATTATCGAACTTCTGATACACACCATTCTGACGACAACAATGCAGCTCGTCAGGTGGGCTACGGAAAGGAGTGCAATGCCACCGCCGTGTTGTTGATTCTCACATCTATTCCGATAGCCTTCCTCCATGTTATAGGCCCGGCAGGCAGATATTGGAAATTCGGGGCCCTCTCCAAGGTCAAATCTTCAGGACGAAATGAACCAGCCGTTCTCCTTGCCACACCAATTGCATCGTAGTAGGTGCCCGGACCTGGTATTGGGGTTCGGAACAGGGTGAGACCCAATATTTCTGGTCATTTACAAAGACACCTATGTACTCGAAGATAGTACAGTAACGAGGAACTCATTAGCGTTTGTATTCAGGTAGAAAGGGAGGAAAGACCGCTGGTGAGAGGTGCTAAAAGCGAGCTTTGGCATCTCAGCGCCGTTTTGGGCAGTTGTTCTAGCGGTAGGTTGAGGTGGGCATGGAGGAGCGCACCTCAACATGGGCGGCTCTTTTCATCGCTCGCGGTGTTGAGGAGAATGGCCAATTCGGCATGACTATTACGGTGAGGAAGACCAGCCATAAGATGCGACTCGGTGTTGTTAGGGTCGCTGATCACGATCAGAAAAGGTTGTATGTATCTAACAAAAGTAATGAAAAAAGGCCATGTACACATCAATCAAGGTTTCATGTAAGTAAAGTGATTTATAGCTAGAAAAGTGAACAGTGAATAGTCCTGACTGGAATCTCTTGACCTGACACTTGCAGACTGAGTGTTGGTGGGGTTGATGTTCGCGGGCTAGAAACGACAAAAGGCCCGGTACAGATACAGTAGCAGCAATGCTTGAATAAAACCTGTGCTGTCAGCACTTGTATCTCTCCTACGATCGAATTGCCAATGGCAGCTACATGTAAGAGGTATATGTGTCAAAGTAAATCAAAATTTATAGACAAAATATTACTATCAAAAAGTTAAACTCTGGCGACGCCTAACTCCGTTATTTCACGACCAGTAACTCCCTAGCTATCGAGTAATAACCCATTGGGCTTACAACAGCCCTAAACTAAGCACTTATTAGACACCTGCAGCTCCATTCCGTCCCGACTAGGCCCCAGAACACGAAGCAACCCCACCAATCACACCACCACAAACCTGCATTATTCTCAGAAATCTTTATAAGTAACAATAAAGATTGTTTCGAAGCATAGTCAGTTTGGCCGAGTGGTTAAGGCGCCGTGTTTAGGTAAAATATTCCTGCGATATTACCATAAACCCGCGGTGGGAAACCGCGCAGGTTCGAATCCTGCAGCTGACAATATTATTATTTTGCTGTTTTTTTGTCCTTGAGGTCTGCTGTATTTTCTACTTTTTTAAGATCTTTTCTGTGGCTTGAGCTGCCCCTTCCTCCATTCAATTTTGACTTGGGTTTATAGCGTTCAGGGTGAGTGAGGGAGGGAGGGAGTGAGAGGCAGAGAATTCACTCCGTACCCCACCTCCCATCCACCATCAAAAGAGATGATGCATGTGATAAGATGTCAGTCTCTGGGAAAGGTTTCAATAGAGAAGGATACATTGCTTCAATTATATAGGCTTGTCACATAACACAGATAGGTCAGAAATACTTCGTTGGTTTCATCTCAATTCTTGTTCTTTTTAGTTCCTCGATTCCCATCCCGTCCGTCCGGAAATAATTTTCACCTCCATTTCAGTTTCGTCAAATGAACTTTCTTTCCGTTCTTCATCATCATTCCACAAGAAGCAAATATGTACAAGAGAAAAAAGGTAGCGACAGGTAAGAAACGCCATCGTAGCTAGCAAGCGAATGTCATTTTCCATTCAATTTTGATGTTCTTCGTTACCCTTCCACCAAAGAAAGAAATCCCCCCAAATATGTCCACTGAACCATAGTATCCGACTACTCGCATACACCTATCATCTAGAAATGACGCAGGACCCTATCACGACGACGCTTGACCTGACTAAGGGTATCCGAGATGCCGGGCGTGCACTGGGTACCCGCCGCCATAGGCTGGACAGCAGACCATTGTTCCGAAGCGCAGCGCTGGAAAGATGAGCCTCCGATACAATTCCACGCGCCCTCATCGGTGCACGGCCCGGTCATCGCACCAGATGAGTTGCTACTACCGGACTGGACCGGCGCAGACGAAGCCGACGTCGGGGATAAAACCGGAGTGGACGAGTCCGATGAAGCGGCAGGCGCGGAAGAGGAAGAGGAAGAGTCGGAAGGCGCAGCAGACGAGGCAGGAGGCTCCGAGCTTTCAGAAGAAGTGGAGACGATGGTACCACCCGTAGTCAAGAAGACGCCGCCGCTGGGAGTACTAGAAGAAGAGGCGGAGGACGCGGTCAGTGTCGCTGCCTTGGTAGTGACGGGGATGACAGTTAGGATTGTGGCACTATCAACAGGCGATGCTGAGCTTGGTGGCGAGGAAGACTTCTTGGATGACGACATAGTGGTCGAGGAGTTGTGGTACGAAGTCGTGCTCGTCACCATTGTGGTAAGAAAGTAAGATCCGGAAGGAGCAGCAGAGGAAGAAGAAGAAGGGGTCGTTGAAACAGCAAAGGGAGTGGTGCTTGTGGTGCTTGTGGCAAGTACTGAACTACTATTAGAAAAATAGGTGGGCACATACACTGCAGAAGCCAAGTCCGAGCTAGATTCTGAGCTGGAAGAGCTTGAATCCGAGCCCGCCGAGCTTACGCTTGATCCAGAGCTAGATCCAGAGCCTGAAGTCGAGCCCTCGGGGGCGTTGGCACCAGTCGCGCACATGATAGCCGGACCGGGACTCGTCGCGGTATCTACAACATCGGGGCCGGGCTCGGGGTATACGGTGTCGACTCCTTCCTTGGTACAGTATTGATCGTTGCCGCCCAAGTTGGCAGTGAAGATCTGAGGGCGGTCGGCATACGCGACGGAGGAGCGAGCTGAGATCGCAGTACGCTTCGAGCTACCGCCGATGGTGATTGAGGCGCAATTTTGGTAGAACTCGCGATTTCCGATCTTATTAACCCAGCTCCAGGAGAGGACGGCAGGGCCAGTCTGAGCGTCCGACGGGATGGTGAACGGGAATGAGCCGCCAGCAGATGTCGGGCAATTTCCGATGATGGACTGGATGACGGTGAACGTCTTGCCCTGGTCGTAAGAGAGCGAGATCTGGCAAGAGCCGCCGCCGTGGGATGCGCTGCCCTCTAGTTCGATCGTCGAGCTCTGGCCTGGGGCGTATGTGGCGACCGAAGCACCCTCGGGAGTGCCAAGCTTACTGAGGTAGCCCTTGCAGGGATATTGGGCGCCGGTGATGGGGGAAGTGAGGGAATAATCGGCGTCACCTGGTGATGTATTTGGGTTGCCCTTATACATCAGAGGTGGAGGAGACTTCATGTTCATATGAGCCGTGGCTGAACCAGCAGCCAGGACGGCCATCATCAAAGCCTTGAACTGCATTTTGGGTTGCAAGATAATGAGAGGTGTTTTGCTTTAGGCAGTTGAGTGGTAAAGCTGGCTGGCAGCTTTCTGGCAATGGTGTCTCGTTGACAGGTATGACAGGGCTTCGACAAGAGGGCAGGAGAACCTGGAATGATAGTAGAGGAAGTAATACTTTATATTGACCTTCCAAGGGTGATCAAAGGAATGACCGTTGTCCAAGGATTATTGTCAAACGGCTTGTTTGAAAGTCTTTGTGGGGAAGACAGAGAGTGTGTGACAGACCAGAGAACAATGCAGTGAGTGTTCTCGAACGCACAAGTTTGTGCAGTGTAAAACCACCTAGTATAGGCTGGAATGAAGGGAATGAAAGTGATGAGAAGGAAGTGATCGGATACTCGCATTTGAGAGACTCGGAGCCCTGATTTATAAAAGCAGGTTGGCAGGGCCTAGACAAACGAAGTTCGTTGATGTATACACCCACACTGTCACCGAGACGACAGAGACCCGCAGAAGTTTGGTGGAAACAAGTTGGTACCTGAATAAATGGCATGGCAAACACATGTTCATGACTACAAATCTCCCCTAGGCATTGGAGGCGACTACTATCCGGCTAGTGATGCCTGAGTCAATCTCTCCATTTTTCGATATTTCCTCCACCTCACATCGTCAAAAACAGCTTGGGAGAGAAAGTAGAGGGAGGCGAGTTTAAGGGTTCATTCAGATGCGAGTCAATATATGAAGTCATGCCATCAGTAGGACACGATCAAGACTATGATGAAATAATTTAGCAAAGGACACTACAAGAGAACCAATATGGCCATGTGGTGTACATGACGATCTCAAAATCCAGAGAAACCCGGAGTGGAGCGATCGCTCTTGGAAACATCCTCATCAAAAATGAGCGCCCGTTCTAGTACCAACTATACTAGTGGGCAACACAAGCTGATCGTAATTGCGCCATGTATCTTCAAGATGTAACGGAGTGAAACAGACAAAGGAGCTTTGCTTCGATACTTACTTATTCATAGTCTTACGCATAATAAAGAGAGGCCTTTGGAATCTCCATATAGAGATTGAAGCACACAATCCTCCGATTGCTTATACAGAGCTCCCCGGTTCACTGAACCTACCAACAGCGCTTGGCCCTTACTGTGGCAAGGAAAGGAAATCCTTCCCTGACATAGTCATATTTATTCTGAGGTAAGTGTAACAGCAGGCTACCACAGTAGTCCACGGGACGGTGAGCTGTCACAGACTGCCATGACACAAAAGGTGGGCTCTTGTGTCAGCTAGACGCCTGTCAAAATAACTGACATAAAAGACGGACAGTGATGGTCTTTGCTCGTTTTTATTTCCGGTCGGTGTCAGCCTCGTTAGCGCCGATCTGAAGTAATCATGCAAAGCATCTGTTGGAGAATAAGTAAGGGGGCGATCGATTGTCTTGTTCGAAAAGAGGACTGACAAGCGACCATCAGGATCTGCGAATCTGGGTATAAACCACAGCTGATTAGTTGAGTCTTGTACCTGCTTTGGGCCAACAAGATGCATCATGATTGGCTCGGCAATGGCCCGGTAAAAGGTGGACCATTCTGCACGGAGGGACTCCGTCGTGCTTCCTTTAGCTCAGTCCAAAGATTCTAGCTGCCAACATTACTGACGAAAAGATTGTGATAGATCGGCTCATGACAGATTTGACAAGTCTGACTGGCAGCAAATCAATGCATATGTTTTCTCTTGAGCCCAGTAATAAATGCCTCATGTCGCCTCACATTCGCCTTCAATAAGGTGGCAAACAGAAGTCTTGCCGGACCCAAAAAAGGAGGCTTGTGTGTCATGACTAGCCTAACACAGTGATAGATTTCTTCGTTTGTGACCTTTTACCCGCTGTGCACATGCACAACATGATACTCAAGAGTAAAACCTCCGGTTCATCAAAGGAAGAGATGATTATCATTGTCCATAACCACCAAGGATTTTAAGAGGAGGCATGGCCGCGTCATCCTCAAGAGACCCCAAAAGCGGTCCGTGTCTTGATATATTCTGGATCTATCGTAGAAACAGAAAGGTGCCAAACTTCCTCTTGGTAGAAAAGACTTGGTTGTTTCATCATTGGGCTAGATGATTGTTTGAAATCGAAGACGCTGTCTGCCTTCTATCTCTTCACTATCCAAGAATGAACCCTACGTAGTATTCTCCCTAGCTTCGGTATCTTGTGTTAAGTATCACTCCCTCTCAGCAGAGTAAAGAATTGAGATGACCTAGAACCACAGGACTCCAGATGACCCTGATTCACGGGCCGCCCTGACTAGCGGATGGTGTTTCAAAGACCTCCCCTGTCTTCTAGAAGCCCAGGTTGCCAGGCTCCCTCTAAAATTCTCCGCAAATCCGCCACCCCACGACTCGCGCGGAGACTTACAGTAATTGGTCTACAGGGGAAACAACTTGAAACTTGATTGACTAGCCCGCTGTTACTCAAATACCCGGCAGGGTCGTAGGTTGTGTTTGCAGTCTTCAAACCTCTTGACGCCAAAGAAATTATGTAGCTGGGCCTCGTCCCCAAAACAGACCGCGACTTTTTTTCTTTTCTTTTCCTCTTTTCCCTGTTTCAAAAATTTTGTCGTGGGTGCCTGTGATCATCCCACTTGCGAATCTTCAAATTATAGGTAGTTTTCAGTATTCAGCTTTCCTCAAACGGAGAGACAAACGGGCGGGGGGGCTTCACTTCCTCGATCGCGGAGATGTCCAACAAACCATGCGGGAGATAGCATATGTGTATATAACAATGAGGGTGCCATCAGTGTGCCAAGAAGTAGTGTTAATTTGTAACTCAGCTCGGTAGCTAGCTATTTTGATATCTGCCTGCAACTGCCTAGGCC